AATCTAAAATTTAATTCTTGTTTTATCTTTCTTTATCTTAGAAAATAAATTTCTAAAAATCTGACTTATTTTGCCTCTTATAGTCATGAATGTCATTCACTAAAAACTTTATAGTTCTGTGCATTATAGAATGCCCACTAATAGTAATAAATGAATTTGTAACTCTTCGAAATTATCATTATTTATTCCTGATCAGCGTAAAATTTTAAGACGGTTTAGCGCTGTCCCTCCGTACATTTGTGCGTCTGTTGTAATAAAGCTAGAGTCAAAACGAATTAAGGTAGGAAACTAAATTTTTTCACAGATTAGTCTTTTGTCTGCAGGCAGGTCAAGTTCGAAGATGTGCTATATCGGTCCACGATATCGTATAGCCCCCATATAACGTGTTGTAAGATATTCAAAACAATTTCACACGAAATATGTAGTCCATTTTACAGCTAAATATGATCCAATGGTCATTCAAAATGATGGACTTCTGTCCTGGCTTTAACTCTCTTCTCGCACAAAATTCCATGTCGATTGTCGATTTTCAATTGTGACCTGTAGAGCGACTGCAAAATATGGAAAATTTTTGAACCCCTAATGTACAAAGCAATAGGCTTTTATTCTGGCCCTAATCTACCCCCATGCAAAATTTCGTGAGGCTCGGACGATAATTGCGACCTATATATAATACCCTCAATAAATTGTTCATTCAACAATTGAAAAGATGTTACAAAAAATATTCACATATCATATTTTTACTCGATTAGATTTTATCCTTTCCAGGCAAGAGACCATTAAAAAACGGATCAGACATAGCTATAACTCCGAAATATATGTGTTGACCTTTCTTTACTGGTTGAGTAAAAAAGCAGTTAAGTTCGGCCGTTGAAGGAACTTGACAAATTTCGTGGACAATTTCCCTCAAAGAAAACCCTTTATACGCAGTATAACGAAGATATGGTCCTGCATATACAATATTTTTCAAAGTACCCATTACGGACTTTAAACACGAAATTTGAAATAATTCCGGTAAAAAAAGTGAATTTAATATCCTCAAACTTGAAACAATTCCGGATAATAATGCTGCTAATATCACCAAAATACCAAATATAGGGAAGTGTCTTTATATGTGGACTATATGTAGACGTGGACCTACTTAGAAAAATTTTCCGTCATGGGTTGTAATTCCCATTTCGAGCTTCAAATGACAAATTTAAAACAATTTCGGTGAATAGTGTTCTAAAAATCATTAGAATGCCCAATATAGGGAAGTATCGTTATATGGGGGCAATTTTTTGTCATAGGCTGTAGTACCCATTGCGAACTTTAAATACGACATTTTAAACCATTCCGGTAAAAAATGTCGCTAAAATCATCAAAATAGCGAATATGGGGGGTAAAGTTGTATGGGGGCGAGTCGATATCGTATAGATAATAGACAAATCTCTCCCTGGAGGTAACGTACTAAGAACGAGTTCAATTAAATTGAAAAATTTGGCTATAATAATCAAAATACTGAATATCAAAATACAGACCTATATTGACAATTCTCTTTCAGGAGGTAAAGTACTCTCAAAGAACTCCTTGTGTAGAATTTCAGACAATTCAATTGAGTAATGTGGCTAAAATCATAAAATACCGAATTTCGGTGGTACCGTTATATGGGGGCTATACGTAAATATTGGGAAAATTCCCCCGATCAAAAAGCTTAGGGTAACATCTGGGTAGGGCTCTATGACGTTATTTCAAAAGCGAATTCTTCCAAAATGTATTTGGGTATAAGGGGGGTTCCAACATATTTTGCTGTTGTAGGGTATCACATGGTTGGCCAGCACGACTATAGCCTTTGCTTACTTGTTTAATAAGACGTTTGGAAATACATCAACAAAACTATATATTTAAATACTTTAAGCCATGCTTGATTTTACACAGAAATATATCACTGGTATCTGGTCACATTTTTGCAAATATGTGTTTCTGTAGTCATATTAAATAAGCGATATATTTTTGATAAATGCTTTCCAATAACACCTACTGTTACAAAAATGTATTCCGGAAAATTCTTAAAAAATTAAGTGACTTCACAGGAAAGTAAATAAAAAAGGAAAGAAAAAGGTAAATAAAAATGTTTATGACTTGGGACGAAAGGTAACAAAGTTGCTCCTTAATTCGTAAAACATGAAATACAAAATTCTCCTTTGAGGGTTATCTTCTTGGTTGGTTGGTGGTTTCGCTGTTATAAATTATTATTATTTTGATTATTGCCGTAGCAAGGAGTCCTTTGAGGTTGTCTCTTTTCTTTCCTCTTATTTACTTGGTTAGCTAAATCTGTTGGATTCTGCTGCTTTTCCTACTAAAGTTTTGTAGACGATAAATTTTCCTGTGCAATCATCGAGACGAGCGGAATCGTAGGATGAGATTTTTCTTGCTGAAATTCATCGATAAAGTTTGATTTCGTTTCTGCTTCATTGGGGCGAACGATAAAATACGTAAGCATTATGGTTTTCAACAGATGCTAAGGCAACATTTGTGGTGGGCTGTTAAATTTATAAGTTTGACAGGCCGGCGGAAAAAGTAAACACTTACAAATATCCTGAAAGTGTTTCCCTTTATACATGTTGGTCACAGGAATTTGTTGCGATTTACTTAGACACGTCCTTAGGGTATATTTATGGGGCAAAATGTGTTAACCTGTCATTTAATCGATTTTTGTGGTGTATATATTTCAATTATTTATATTTTGTGGTGTTGACAGAATACCAACGAAATCAACAACTTCAAATCATTTTTATTGGCAAAATTAATATCTTAATTTCTAATATCATTGGAAAATCAAATTTTTGTATGTAGTCTTTAAAATTGAAAGTGTCGAAAAAATCGAAAAGAAAAATTTTTATCTCAATTTTATTCGCAACAAAAATAAATCCGAAATTCCGCAATATTGTTGCGTTTAAGCAAAACGTCTAATCGAACGTATTGGCAGGAAGACAAAGCGGTAGTGGCCCCGTTAAGATTTCGATCGTTGGCGGTGGTCAAAGGGGTTCGAAAGTTTGGCGACGTGAACGTATCGAAATGACAAATGATCCAGATTTGGATGATTGTGCTTTTCTATCAGGTAAAATGTACACAAATAAAAGAAATAAAAAATGTATTATTATTAAAATTCAAAAAGAAAAATATTCAATCTTCTCTTTACAGCAGACCTTCACAATGTCTTCTGTCGATACAATACATCCACAAGATCTTCTGTCTATAGAAGACCTTCACAAGGTCTTCTGTCTATACAATACATCAACAAGATCTTCTGTCTATAGAAGACCTTCACAAGGTCTTCTGTCTACTGAAGTTCTTATATGTCTATAGAAGTCCTCAACAAGGTATTCTTTCTGCAGATGACCTTCACAAGGTCTTGTGATTATAGACGACTTTCACAAGACCTTCTGTGTATAGAAGACCTTTACAAGGTCTTCTGTCTATAGATGACCTTCACGAGGTTTTCTGTCTATAGTAGATCTTTTCAAGGTCTTCTGTCTACAGAAGATCTTCTCAAGGTGTTCTGTCCGTAAAAGACCTCCACGAGGTCTTTCTGTTTATAAAAGACCTTTACTTAATCTTTAGTCAATAGAATGCCTTCACAAGGTCTTCCGTCTATAGAAGGCCCTCACAAGGTCATCTGTCTATAGAAGAGCTTCAAAAAGTCTTCTGTCTATATGCTACATTCTTCTTTAGACAGAAGACTTCCTGAATTTTCTATAGAAAGATAACTGTAGAAGACCTTCACAAGATCTTCTTTCTGACCTTCACAATATCTTCTGCCTATAGAAAAACTACACCAGGTCTTCTGTCTATAGAAGATCTTTTCAAGGACTTCTGTCTACAGAAGATCTTTTCAAGGTCTTCTGTCTAGAGAAGATCTTCTCTAGATCTTCTGTCTACAGAAGATCTTTTCAAGGTCTTCTGTCTACAGAAGATCTTCTCAAGGTCTTCTGTCTGTAGAAGACCTCCACGAGGTCTTTTTGTTTATAAAAGACCTTTACTTGGTCTTCAGTCTATAGAATGCCTTCACAAGGTCTTCCGTCTATAGAAGGCCTTCACAAGGTCACCTGTCTATAGAAGAGCTTCACAATGTCTTCTGTCTATAGTAGTCATTCATTGGGTCTTTTGTCTATAGAACCCTTCACTAGGTCTTCTGTCTGTAGAAGACCTTCATTGGGTCTTCTGTCTATATAAGACCTTTACTAGGTCTTCTGCCTGTAAAAGACCTTCACAAGGTCTTCAGTATATATGCTCCCTTCTTCTTTAGACAGAAGACTCTCTGAATTTATTCTATAGAAAGATAACTGTAGAAGACCTTCAAAAGGTCTTCTATCTATATAAGACCTTCACTAGGTCTTCTGTCTGTGGAAGACCTTCTGTCTAGTATAGAAGTCCACAAGGTTTTCTCTCCATATATAGTACCTACAAAAGGTTTTCTCTCTATGTAAGACCGTTACAAGGTCTTGTTTAAGTCTTCTGCAGGCAGAAAAGTCCAAAGGCCCTATCGAATACCTCCGAAAGTTTTTTTTGTCTACGGAGTTCCATTACAAGGTCAATTGTAATTTGTAAGAAGACATCCGAAAGTCTTCTTTATATAGAAGCCCTCCAAAGGTTTTCGGTCAACAGGCTGCCTTCACCAGAAATTCAATCAATAGAAGGCTTTCGAAAGCTTTAAAAAACCTTTGTAACGCCTGTACTGACCTCTGGAAAATAATCTAACTTTCCATGTCTTGATAATTAAATATTTCTACAGTATGCTCCACAAAAAAACCTCATTGACTTTAATAATAACAATTCTGTGTTATTTAATACCCTTCCGGCAATTTGATGCCCTCTATCTCATATCACAGGTGCATTAAAACCGACCATTAATATTTAATTAAATTCTCTCAGATGTTGACTTTTTATGTACTCTTATATTATTGTTGTAATTGTTGTTATTACATTTTTGACTTATTGTTCTTTGTGCATTGTTGCAGGTGGCGAATCCAGCGGTGGCCGACAAACACGCAATGGTGTTGCCGTCTGCTCACAAAAACGTGCCCTCCTAGTGGCCGGTGTGGTGTTAGGCTCACTCCTGCTAACAGCTTTAATCATAGCCTATGCTGGACCAACGACGGGTAAGAGATTCTGTTGTTTTTGTATTTTTGGTTTTAGTTTCAATTTGAAATGTTTTGTTGTTCCTGCTGGCATTCCGTGAACATTCATTCCGCCAACATACACGGAGTCCGGAGTCCTGTAACATAGTCCCCAAATAAAAGCCCACCCACCGCCAAAAGCAAACAACTGTTCGCCGTCATTCAATTCACTTCGTTTGTTTCATTGTTTGGTTGGTTTGCTTTGCTTTTATCCGGTGTTCGTTTTTTTTTTTTCGTTTCCTCTTTTATTTCCGCTTTTGTTTCTCATTTTTTTAGAGTTCATTTCATTAGTCTAACAACACATTTTATTTATTTAATATTTCCATATTGTTTTTATTGCACCAAAACCACTATTAAAATAAAAATTCGTAGAATTTTATTTTGGGGTAAAACAATTTTGTTTTATATTAACTTAGTAAATGGTCGTGATTTAAATGAACAACAGCTTAGGAATTTAATAAAGTTTATCAAAACATTTAGGGGTTTGCTAAGTTTTAAGCCATTCAGTTTAGCGTGTATAGAATTCCTTTATTTTGAAAGAAACGATGAATAATAACTAAAATAAATAGGTATCTCCGATTCCGATGGAACCAGAAAGATTTACTATTCTAACATTGTTTGCAAATTTTAATTTAATATTTTAGTGGGACAACCAAAAATAGTTTCGTAATGTATTTCCGGGTACGTCCAGCGAGTGGAAATACAAACATAAACTAATAATTTAATGAATACTTCTATTAATTGTGGAGATTTATATAGCGAGGCCCCAACAGGGACGCCACCATATTTTATGAGCTAAGTTTGGTTTCTGTAGTTGGGACTATCGCAGGTAATCTCTACGCTTTAAAAGATTTGGAACGGGTTTGAGGATTATTTGTAGGGTTGTCTGTCTGGCTTGTGAGAACGGTGGTATATCGTAATATGTATATAAAACCCAGACCGAGTTCGATGGTGGGCAATATGGACCCAACCCTTACGGTACCTCATACAGAAACATGCCTGGATTTTTAAAGAAAATGTGTTTGCGGATTATCAGAGCAAAAGAAGTGAATTTTTAGAGAAAACAAGTAAAAAAGTAGCTTAGTTCGGCCAGGTCGAGCTTTGTATACCCTCCACCATTTGGAAGAAACTTGAAAAATTAAAAAAAAAAAACAAACGAAAAATACCGCTCAAATGAAAACCGTTATATGGGGGGCTATACGAAAACGTGGTCCTGCATAAGTAATTTATGTCATAGGCTGTAGTAACGGTTTCGAACTATATGTACGAAACATGAAAAAATTCCGGTGAATAATGTCGCCAAAATCATGAAAATACTGAATATCCGTTATATGGGCGCTATACAAAAACGTGGACGTATTTAGACAATGCTCTTCTAGGGGGTAAAGTACTCAGAAGGAAAATTTTGCCGAAATCATAAAAATACCCAATATCGGGGGTAAGGTTATATGGGAGGTATACGATGTACAGTTATATGGACGTATATAGACAATTCTCATCTAGGGAATAAAGTACTCACAATAAACTCCTTGTGAAGATTTTCAGACGATTCGGTCGAAAAATATGGCCTCAAAATACCGAATATCAGGAGGAACTGTTATATAGGACCCATATAGATAATTTTCTTTCAAGGGGTAATGTACTCACAAGGAACTACTTTTGTGGATTTTAAGAAAATTCCATTAACAAATTTGCCTGAAATCATAGAAATACTCAATATGGGGGAAACCGTTATATGGGGGTCAGACAATTCTCTTGTAGGAGGTAAAGTACTCAGAAGGAATACCTTGTGTAGATTTAAGGGCAATTCCATCAACAATTTTGTCTGAAATCATCAAAATACCAAATATCGGAAGGTACAGTTATATGGGGGATATACGATATCGTGATCCACATAGATAATTATTTTCCAGGGGATAAAGTATCCGAAAGGAACTCCTTGTGTGGATTTTCAGACAATTCCATTGAAAAATGTGGCTAAAATCATCAAAATACCGAATATCGGGGGGTACCGTTATATGGGGGCTATACGTTATCGTGGATCGATATAACCCATCTTCGAGCTTGACCTGCCTGCAGACAAAAGACAGATAAAAATTTTAGCTTCTCATCTTTATTCGTTTTGAATGTAGCGTGATTACAACGAACGGAAAGACGGACGTACAGGACTAAATCGTCTTAGAATTTTACTCTGATCAAGAATATATATACTTTGTTGGGTCGAAAATTAGTATTTCGATGAGTTACAAACGGAATGACGAACTTAATATGCCCTCCATACTATGTATGGTGGAGGTCATGGATTGTTTAAAGGCACATATGTGAGTTTCTGAGTTTCAACGACTCACAAAACAAAAACTCTTCAGAGCCATAAACTTGGATTTTAAACGAAAAAAATCTGTGGACCTTTCAAAGTCACAAACGTGGATTTTTACGACTGTCAAATTCAGAAACAAAAATTCTTTAAGGACTATTAGATCCATCAGCTCCTGAATCGAGTACATTTTTATCAAATTTATATTCAGTTCTGTCATTAAGTCATGATCACAGTTTGTATGAGTTACTTTCCACGAATTCCAATATAAGCTCTGCTAACCGGGAGTGGAAAACTTCAAAATGCAGTTGTACTTAAAAGGTACTTTTTGGACTATCATGGTAATTTTTATTCTAAAACTGTATCCTTTCTTCTCTTCTGTCGACAAAATACATCGGGAAGTGATTTTATCTCCTAGTATACTTAGAAACCCCGTGGAAGATTTTCCATTTGTGTGGAAGGACCTTTTCTGGAAAATGTTCTACCTTTTGAAGACTTTTTGAAGGACATCTAGAGACAATCTACGTATGGAATCTTTCGGGGGGTCTTATATCTATAGTTCTGTGGAAGGTTTTATGCCTTAGAAGATTTTCTTTACATAGGAGACCTCTTGAAAGTATTCCGCCTATAAAATTCAAGTGGACTGTCTATTGAACACCACTGGGAAACTTATATCAAAAACAAGTAAGCAAAGGCTACAGACGAGCGGGGCCGACCGTTGAATACCCTACAACACTATAATAAACGATACAGTTTATATAGGCGAAATACTCGAAAGAATTCCACAAGATATTGTGACAAATAATAAAAGAAAACCACCAGGTTTCGTTCTCTAATTTTCGAATAATAGCAACTTAAACTAATTTGCTCATTTCCAATTTATTGGTAGATGTTGCACTTAGATGGTATTCCTAGATCTGGAACCAATATTTCCCAAAGACCTATAATCTCTCAGAAGTGGCAGGAGATTAACATTTATTATAGGACACACACATTTGACTATATTCTTCAATGAAATCAGCGTTAACGAAATAATCAGAAGTGCGTCTTTCCAGTATTTGTGAATTCTCCAAAAAGTCACTGGAATGGACATTTTCGTATTTTGTCTACAAAAGTTGGCAAACTATTTCACACATTGAATATTTTTGGATGGCCATCCAAAACTGCTTGCCTTTTGCAATGTCCGGTAAGTAAATGTGCGTGAGGATCGGGCGATAATTACGACCTGCTGATAATTTTGCAGTTTTTCGGTCCATTTCAACCCCTAAATATATGGCGATCATCTCCAAAAAGAGTAGGCTTCTGTTCTGACCCTCATCTTATCCCCATGCAAAATTTCGTAAGGATCGGGCCATAAATGCGATCTGTATATGATATCCTGATATCCTAACTACTTAGTTTTGTTAGCTGTAGAAATATTACCAAATGTTTAATTCAAAATGAAAATATGCCAAAAATATGACAAAATTGAAAAAATATGAGAAAATTTTACAAAATCAATATTTTTATCTTTATAGAGATATTTTTATGCGATTTTTTTAGACGCTTTTTCTTTCTTGCCAAGAGGCCATTCTGAATTAATAAGAACTGTCGAAATCAGTTCAGCCGTTCTCGACATATAAGAGATCTTTCAAGCATATCCTCTTTGATAGACATATATATCGCACATATTTTGCTATATATCCTATTTGTTGGATGTTAACATCAATTTAAAGGTCAGAAGTAACCTTGTCATGGCTTTGTGATTTCGCCGGGATTTAAAATATTCGCGGTGTAATGAAAAATTTTGAATTTTTTCAACACAAAAGATATGGTCTATTTACCCGCTAAATATTATCCGATGACCACCCAAATTGGTAGGCTTCTTCCCCGCCTTAAACTCTAACTACATGCGAAATTCCGATTGGTCTATAATTGCGACCTGTATAGCTACTGCAAAATCCGACATTTTTCCAGTATTTGGTCCATTTCAACTCCTAAACATTTGGCGATCATCTCCAAAAGAAATAGGCTTCTATTCTGACCCTAACCCCATCTTCGTGCAAAATTTCGTAAGGATCGGGCCATAATTGCGACCTGTAGCGTGATTACAAATTAACATGGACAGACGGACAGACGGACGGACGGACATACATAGCTAGATCGACTCAGCTCGGCGAGCTAGGAAGATCCATATATACTTTCCTATATGGGAAACCAATATTTCGAGGTGTTACATAAATTCTGGCCCAATCAAACTTATAATACCCCCAACACATAGTGTTGTAGGGTATAATGATGAAAAATGTAAACTAAATTACACTAAATTATCTACGGAAATACTTTGGTATATTTTTAATAAAATTGTACTGGAAAAAGTACCAATGAACAAAATTGTCCATCCTTTCGGTATTGTGTCCCTTGGTGCTTTCCAGACTGGTTTTATATTTGACTAGTTTGTAATCTAACCAATACGCTGATTTTCCTGCAACATGCACATGTTCATGTAAGAATTCCTGTTTTCACTTCCCAAAATACCTGGATATCCATTAAATTCAGTTTTCGCAAGAGCAATAAATCCATATTTCGTGATCCTTGCGTTCCTTTTTTATAACATTTTGCGGTTAACAGTACAATTTATTGCATTAAGTAATATCCTGTTATTGGCAACGGCAATGATAAGCAGCTG